TGCTGCCAACAACATCCTGCACGCCGTTTCGACGTGTTGGACATTTAATCGCAGTCAGACGCTGCCCTTGCTTGTCGATGCCGAGTCCATCTCGTGGTGATCACGTACCGCCGAATCGTGCATGAGGACGCCCGTTCTATCCGCAGCCCGGAGCAACTCGCAAAAGTAAATGCCATTAGAGTTTGCGGAAAGCGGAGGTTTCACCCTTCATTGATTGGGACTGTTGCCGGCGAACCCACCACGCGCACATGTCAAACGCTCTGTTGGTTGACTGCTGTCGCACTTAGGCTCCGACAAATCCCCCGGAAGTTACCAGTCGCTTTACCCTGGCCGAACACAGCGTCGTCTTCCGCGCTTTCGCATTCGACCCTGATGGACCCTGTCGCTGAAACCTTGGTCGGTAACTTTGGATGGTACGATCGTTTTATGACGCCGACTGCCAGTGTTCGCGTCTGGCGTCGTCTTTCCGTTCCTCCAAAAGTCAAAGCCCTTACCCTCGGCAATGGCTGCGCGGAGAGTTGCACAACGTCGTTGCTGAAGACCATCAACAATGCAGTCTCCCGCCCTAGCTTGCACGAGAAGACGCATCATGGCACCAGTCGTATATGGTTTGCAGCATTTCGCGCAGTCTCCTGCAAAGGTTCTCCAGCCAACCTGAAATCACTGCACCCACCGCGATACGCGCTTGGCCGTTGCCTGAGGCCTGGATCCCACACTCGTTTCACTCTATTCAACTGCAGCCTCGCCAAACCACTTGAACCCACACCCGTGCTATCTCCATCACGCGGTAATATCGCACGGACTTGCATGCCTCAAATTACGCTTTGCAACGACTATCGCGCAAAGCGTGACAGCAGAGTACACCCAGTCCTTGCATGAGCCCGTGCTAAACCTTCAGGCTAGGCGCATGCCTACAAATGACGTCTGCGCTCCACCGACCAGACTTCCTCTGCCTATGCTGTCTCGATATCAGGCCATCTTTCGCTACACTCAGCGCCCCTGGAGGCACTACAGAGCCACGTTGACCTAGCGTGTTCAATAGACGCCGCAAGACCCAAACAGTCGCATTCAGCTCCTGCGGCTCAGTGTACTGGGCGCCTCTTGAACACGAACGTCACACTGGGAAAAGCCACGTCTTGACCCGGGGCCATCATGGTCAGTCTACAGCAGGCGCAGCCTTACCCTCAGATACCGATAGTTCCAATGGTCGGGCCCAGGGAAAGCCACCATGCAGTCAAGATGCCACACATGACGACCACCCCGCGTCTACATGGTCTGATAGCAGCAAGCACATACCTTTCTGTACATACCAACATACCTCATATTCCACAGGGTCTACTACATACGATGCGCTGGCATGCTGCGCGCTCCTGTGGCCACAATCCGGCAAGATCGGAGCGCACATCAAGCACCGAAAGGCTTGGAACAGTTCGACTTGTGCATTCCTCAAGGGTGGCCTTCTGGAAGCCCCTGTCTTTCTAGAAGATATGATCTGATCGGTGAAAGAATGTGAGAGGGACCATTGGTGTGCTCCATCCCTTACTTAACACGGGAGATTCGGCGGCTGCAGACGTTACGTCCAGCGGCATTCGACAACTGCACATATACGAGGCTTGAAATAGAAGTGCGGATGCAGATCATGCTGTTGGTACTGGGTATGCGCTGGTCAATCAGCGTCACAGGGAGTGCACGGCGCTAACACGTTTTCAAGACGTTGGCTTTCTGTCGTATCGACTGCTGTCTCTCTCCATTGGCGACTTGGAACATTCCAACGTATAAGCTATTGCTTCGCAGACACCGTGACGTCTACCAGCTGACCTGGTACTCATGAGGTAACCCGTCTAGATGTCACACAGCCTTCATTCCAAGGATAACTACGCATCACTGATAATAGCGATGGTATTGTTCGTCGAATTTCCGTTCGGCCTCAAGAATGGCAAGTACACGTCACCTTACGCGTCAGTTTGTCTGCCCGTGTCAGCCTGCGCTTCATGCTGTGTCGGGTCGTTTCAACTCCGTCATGCACTTTGTAGTCGCGATTCCTCGTCCATTGTTCTTCTGTTAAGATCTAGCGAGTCAATTCGCACTGCCAAAGTCGGTCGTCTCATCAGATTCTGCCATGGTACTGGTTCATCGCTGCTTGATCGTCGAAACATGATCTCTCCTCTCAACGTACGAATCATTAATCATCATCTTCATTCCATGTGTCTCACTCGTTCGCGACCGAGTACATCAAGAAAAATGTGATTGTGGTTGCAAGCTATATTCCCGTATGAATTCTTTGAACTGCTGAACACGTCTTCTGTTCTCTCCAGATCATACACCATAAACCCAACCCCTTTCTCCCACGAATCCCGGTCATCTCGCCGCACTCAGAGGATATGATACCATCCTTTCCCCGGCTTTTTACAGCTGTGCAGTGAGTCAGCATCAGGAGCGATCGACCGAGCAATAGTCACTGTACTGACCGTCATCCACCATGACCGAAAAAAAGCTGATCATAGACAGCCAACACCATCTTCACAAAGTCCTGCTCCCACACACCACTCATAAGACGATCCGTCGTTTTGGCAGGGGTAGGTAATGTTCTGGCGCACACCAGACCATGGTAGAGGTAAGACTACACAGTAGCGACCTACGCAAGGATCCGGACGTGGTCTTATTGATACCTGTGGTATTGGTGCCGCCACCGGTTCCGGTGCCGGTGCAGCAACTGCACTGATGGCAGTAAGAGAGAGGAGAGTGAAAGTAAAGCTGAGGAACTGCATATTGAGGGATGCTGCTTATTAGAGTGAAGAGGACTGCGGCTTGCTATCGCTTTGAAATGATGGGTGAGGAGAGAAATAGGACGGACTCACTGGCTTTCTTATACACATTTTTCGGCGGCTTCTGGGCAAGCCAACATCTTGCTCGACTGGCCCACTTACTCCACTTACTGACTGCACGATAGTACCTCTAAGAGTATCGATTCTGCATGTGCGTCCTTAACTCCACATCTTTACGTTCAGCATTCTCGTCCTTCAGACGCAACAGATGTGGGCCACCACCTCGTGCATCGGCCTTCATTCGCCAGTACGTCTCCTTCCTTCTCGTATACCACAGAACCGCATATCGATAGCGGATCGCGATAGGATCTAGATTGCCATCTAGCCGTCATCCCCATATCTACTCTCGTCGAAGCGATGCGGCGCAGATGGTCCTCGAACGCATCGGTTGGACAGCGGCAACGGCGCCTACTCCCGCAACTGGTGGTCATAGTCACTCCTCCCGGGCACATGATCTCTCGAAAAGGTCCTTCGATCTCATTTTGGTGTGCGGCGTGGGCGAGAGGAGCTGGCTATTGGTATGCGGAGATCCCTTGCTTAATGGTCGATGCGGGACGGATCTTCGGCTAGTCGGACAACACCACGATGGTGTAGATACGAAACTGGAGATTTGAGGAGGGGATATTTTGTGTTAACGATTTGACAAACAAGGCTTGACCTGAAATAAAGTGCTCGGTCATAGTATCTGATGTGGCTGATATGTAGACATCGTTGATTAGAACTTATTCCAAAATAAGGCTCGCCCCACACTATTCCTGTTTCCCTCCATTGCATTCCTACTCTCAATCTTCATTTCTTCCTCATCTTTACATAGATTTACACGTCCTACCACGTCACCCTCTACTCCTTTTGTATTCACTATCGTCATTTCCCCATCCACCCATCCCCGATACTCAAATCCATCTTCTAGCCTTCCCCTGCCGAGTCTACCCTCTTCAGCCTCATCTTCATCCACCTCGTTAATCTCAACCTCCCACCCCTCCATCATAGCTCCCTCAAACATGAACGCCCCTCTCCCCTTTCTCTTGACAGTCATCTGCGTAGCCCGCTCATACCCAACATCCCACCCATCTCCATCTCTCGAACCTGCCTCTGGCACCCAACTGCCTCTTGTTTCTACTTCTATCTTTGTGGTCTTAGCCTGAGGTCGATTGAGAGAAGCTGAGTGCTCGCGGTATGCAGTGTGGCTGACCAGCGAGGGGGCGTATGCTTTGCTCGTCACGTCGTATGTCTGCGAGAAGATTGAGGGGTTGTCCTGTGGCTGAGGGACTCGATGGACGACGCCTGTGTGGGTGGTATTTAGTGTGGAAGCCGTGGTGGTGAAGATGTGGGTGAGGCAGGAGAATGCCATCTTGACGAGGGTTTACGCAGGTGTTTGAAGCGGTGGTTGGATGGTAGGCCTGCCTTTCTCTGTCAAGTGATACTGTTTGGTTTTCTGGTGTCTCGCTACATTTATCTTGATCAAGATGCGAGTGGCCATCTATTCCATGGTAGCATGGTGATGTCTCTCTTTTTTTTTGAGACATTTCTGTTTGCCAGACAATGAGGTACTGTGCTTTGTTCTTGTCTCGTGGCGTCTCTGCGCCTTCTTTGTCGATATACGAGACAATCAGACGTGTATTGTATGTAGAAAGCGAGACATGGTTCGTTGTATTTTCTGCAGTTCTTGCCATGGTATGCTCTGTTTCTGAGGTGTGATTTAAATCAGTCCATGGGGAAGTATTTTGATGGTGCCAGATAACCTGCATGCGACTGTATCATAGACTTGGAGGTTGAAACGTAGTTCTAGATTGGCTTGCATCAACGAAGTTCAGAAAGTCTAGAAAGTCGCGAACACAGAGAGCCTTAGCAGGGGCTCGTAACGCGATGTCATGCAGTTTACTGATCAGCCAAGTGTTTCATACATTGCTTAGCACTAACATCATCACAACGAGCTTCGGTGTGAATCCAATTTGTGCAATACAGAATCACGCATCACGTATGTTCTCAAGTGAGTTCTTGTGTAGGATCATTTCTTTTGAGTCTGATTAGGATGCCATCAAGTAGCCCCATTATACTAATATGTACAGGTAAAGTCGTGTAGTAGAGCCAAGTTCATCCATCATACGCGCATCCACTCATTCAAGAATTCGATCGCAAAACAGGTTACAGCAAACTATCCCAGCGAATCCGCGCTTACAAGAAGAAAGCAGCAGCACCGAGGACAGCAGCGACCTTTCCGGCGCCAACGGCAACAGCGGCGTTCTCGGTCTGCTCAGGGAGAGCGCTGGACTCAGCAGCGGACGCAGCGTCGTCGGTGACGGTAGCGGTGCCGGAGACAGTCTCAGCAGGAAGGGTGGTGGGCTCGGCAACGCCGGCAGGGCAGTGCCAGTGGTCGCCGTGGGGCTCGCAAGTGCTGGCAGTGGCCTCGTGGTCGTGATCGTCCTCGTCATCGTGGCTGTGGGATGCGGAGGCAGTGATCATGGTGGATCCAGAGGAGACGACAGTGACGGTGGTGGAGGCGATGGTGGAGGCAGGGCCGGAAGTAGCCTCCTCAGCGGCTTCCTCAGCGGAGTGCGAAGCAAGCTGCTCTGGGGTAGGAGCACCAGTGGGCTCTGGAACGCCGTCGGGGCAGTGCCTTGATATTGTCAGCTTGGATCTATGAAGTAGATGTTCTCAGATGGTCTTACCAGTGGTCGCCGTGGGGCTCGCACTCACCACCGGCAGTCACAGAGACGGTGTCCTGTGCTACAACGGCGGCAGCGGCAGCGAGAAGGGAGATGACCGAGAACCTCATGTTGAATGTGTAGAAACGACCGTAGTTGTCTTGTCGAGTTGGATATGTAGGTAACGAGGGAATGTCCTGAGGGCTCGAATAGGATGTTTCGTGAGAGATAGTAGGGTAACGAAGTAACTGCAGTGCCTACGGGCCAAAAGTTTTATATCCCCATCTTCGGGTCGATGCTGCAGAGCATACACCTACATGGCTGGGCGCCGAGCCAAGGCGGCGGATTGCCTTGGCGATGGACATTGCGGTACTCAGTTTCCGTAAAAGAAGGCAAAAACTTGCTCCTCGAGATGAACGATTGGTAGAAAGTGGTCCTGAGTAGGCGGGTTTACCGAGTGTGACGCTGGAGTAGCGTGCGAATGCCTGTTGGGGTCGGCCTCCATGCTTGGCACGTGGGATGTGGATGTGGTGGTGGAGTTGGTGTGCACGAAACGGGCAAACTGTCCGGTGCGTCGTTGAGACATTTGCGAACAGAGCCTTCAGATCAATGCTGAGGTGTGATTTTGTCAGCATAGAAGGTCAGTATTGCCCTATTGCGAAGCGTGGAGTGTTTGCAAGTCGAAGAGCGCGAAGAATGCGTCGATGCGAGGGCTCACGATGCCGCAGTTTAGGCGAAATCCGAGTCAACTCTGAACGTCTAGGTACCGAAAAGAACATCAAAACTAACGCAGGTACCATGCACTGCCATTGATATCTCCGCTTGTTTATCAAATCAGCAGCATGCCCATTCTCAGTCTTGTGGATTTGTTTGCCACACTAAGAATACGCCCTGACCCTAACACTCAACATACTACTTTCGTAGTAGCAGAGGTCTTCATTCGTGTCGGGGCGCCCGATAAGATCGGCATGTCGCTGGTGACTTCACAGTGGACTGGTAGCTGTACGTGATGATTTCTCTTTTTGACAATCTCATTCAATATCTTCGTAAGCAGTATGCAGACGAGATGAAGCCGAAAGTCTGATCGATGTTCCATTCGAGCGTTTTTACGAGAGCGGAACTTAACGAAGATTCTGTTCGCATGGTCCAACGTGGGCAATGACCACAGGATTTCAGAGGAAGCGACTGTGATCGAAATAGCCTGGTTGGTTGATTCGAAAGAATAATCCCATTCAGAAGTGGCTTGAGGCTCGGTTGGCTACTTTGCTGCAGCTGAGTGCCCTGCCAGCATGCACCTGTTCGCGACTTAGGAAGATGGCTGATGTCCACGTATTGGCTGATTGATCGAGCGAATCTGCCAGACGTTAATGGTGTCGTTTCTGGGCTTCGAAGCCAACAAGCGCATATAGTTGCGCATATTCCAGCCTATTGTCAACGACGTCGTATGATTTTGAAGACCAGCCAACCCCTCAGCGATGGACATCTGCGGGTCTGCGGCCCGGTGTCGGCACTGTCTTATGGGTACATTATGTGTCAGGTTACAAAAGAACGCTTCTCTTTCTCGTAGAAGCATACTCGAAGTCCGCTATTTCCAGTCGCGTCAAGAACTTGTGATGTGAAAGCAAGCTTCCGGTGGTAGAAGCCAGCCAACCGTCCCGCACGAGCGTCCCCATTAGCTGAGCTGGAGCAATGCGGGTCATTGCGCTGAGTTATATCGGATATGCAGAATGAATACCGATAGGGGGAGGGCGTGATATATCAACGCTGTGGGCGTTTGTGGACCTCGGTGCGTAGTGAGGATTGCGTGTTGATGGCCTGAGCATGCGAAGAGTTGGACCCTGAAAACCGCGCGGGCACCGGAAATATCCGGCAGCGCTCTGATATACCCAGGTCGGAGATGAACGCAAAGCACGTTGGCTCGGGATATCGATAAGTTAGTGAGTCTATCCGAAGGCACGTTAAGATTGCCTAGCTGCCGCTTTTCTGAAAGCTTCTGCGCTGAGGACGTGCGCATCTTCTGACTTGCGAGGCGAGATTCCCGGTATCCACTCCCCGGTGACAGCCATGTAACGAACCGACCGCACCCCTTATTTCTCCTGTTACCATTGCACGCAAGTCAGTTTTGTGCCTACAGTGAGTCAGTAATTCAGCTACGTGTAGATTCAAGTCAGGTGCAGAGAAAGGGATATGCAATTATCGTGTATATTGCTCGTAACGTTTTCAGAGGTAGCCTTCTTTTCGCTAATTATGCACAAAACAAAGGAGATAAAGGTCTACAAATCTAACATCGTCATGAAGCGAACACGCCAGCAAAAATCTACTGCTTCCGCGCCTGCGCGTACTAGTGCAATCCACTCTCGCCAGTCTCGGCCATGTGGTTTTGGCATTCGACCATGATCTTGACCATTTGCGAGATCTGCTCTAGGCGGCTGATGACGACCTTGTTGCCATCGACAAAGCCGACGCAGTTGTACTTGACGCCGGTCTTGGCCGAGAACTCGCGGACGAGCTCTTGGCCGCGGCGGAGGTTGTGGCGAGGTACGCGGGGGAACAGGTGATGAACAGCTTGGAACTGCAGACCGCCGTGGAACCAGTCCATCCAGGGTGGGCAATCGACGTCCATGGTTGTGCGCAGTTGGCGTTGAGGGAAAGACTCAGTGGGTCCGAGGTCGGCTGTGGGCATGCCCCAGTGAGAGAGGGTGATTTGTACGTGCAAAACCATGGTGACCATGTGCGAGATGATGACGAAGCCGACACGGATGGGCCATGTGGGAAGATAGAGCCAGCAGAGAAGGTAGCCGAAGATGTACCAGTAGCAGCACATGAAGACGATTTCGACGGGGCGTGTCCACCATGCTGCACCCAATTGAGCTGCTCGGGGTGAGACCAAGTGCAACCAGCCGAGGAAGTATAGGTTGAATCTAGCAAAGGCCATGATCGGGTAGTAAAGGTACTTTTGGTAAGGCACAATGACATCGCATGCAGCGTCCCATACAAACTGGAAGTTGTAGAAGGATGACAGGACGGACTTGATGTAAGTGGGGGTGGTGGAGAACAGAGGGATGTTCTGGATGTCCGGATCATGCTCCGGCATGTTAGTGATGAGATGGTGGACGTTGTGGCTGGATTTCCACCAGCCGATGCTGAGGCCAGAGCAAAAGTCTGCGATGAAAGCGCCGATGAGGGTGTCGTAGACGAAGTTGCCTGTGATTCCACGATGGCCGGCATCATGTGCTGTGAACATGATTTGTTGCTAAATTATATTAGAACGCGTTGACCCAAAAAGAGGGAGAGGACTTACCCAGAAAAGGCCAAGGAAGACTGCGGAGGTCATGTACCACTTGGCGTAAAGGAAGCCGGCGAACGCGGCGAAGAGCAGAGCGTATCGAACCGACTCTCTGGCGTATTCTGAGTAGCGGCATTGGTATAGGCCCTCGTCTTTGAACCGTTGGTGCAATTCGCGGTAACTTTGTATGATGGTGTTTTGCGTTTCCAAGTCGAGCGAAGGGTTGTCGCGGATACCTTCTTCGATCTCCCTCTCCTCTTGCTCGATGGCATACTGCTCCCTGTGCCTCTTCTTCTCTTCCGCGGCAGACAAGACTGGTGTCTCAATCTCATCTTCGGTTTGGATAAGAGGTAGCTTTTCGGGGTCGCTGGCAGGTCTGCTACTTGAGCGGTAGACACAAGTATCTGGCTTTCCAATCAACTTCTTGCTGATGATGGCGGCGGCCTTGTGCTGTTAGCGAGGACGGTAAATGCGAACGGGTGGGGGGTAGACCCACGGATCCCAGGTCGACGCTCCTCCCGCGACGTGACTTTTCGGACTCTGGCGCCGCGGCCAATCGCTTTCTTTCCGCAAGATTGATGTAGTAGTCCGGCGAGCGGATTGGAGGCTCCATGTTGGCCCAGGGCATCTCGACACGACCGATGCGATGCTTTGTCATCATAAGCAGTGCCTTATTGGTGTGATAGCTGTTGTGAGGTCAGTATTAGGTCAAGCTGGGGTGCTTACTCAACGCTTCCGCAGTATCCGGCGACATGGTGTGGCCGAACTTTGCCTGTTGCGGAAGGGCTGGTAGGGCTGGCGATATTTAGGCTCGTCCCGCATTACATACATATTGATCTCGTCTGTCGCGTCTCTTCCCACCATGTGCAGGATGGCGAGACGGCCGCCCGGATGCCTATTGATCCATTCTCCGAGATTCAGGACATAGCCCTCGTGGATTACGATTGGCTCGCCCTCGGCAATCTTTTGCGCGATCTCGGCGGGCGCGATGATTCGGTGTCGCGACATGATGGCTGGGGCTGGTTGTGAGAGGTGAGGGTGGGCGTGTTTGGTTAATCAGCGGGACAGCAGGATATATACGAATGCAGGAGCGGGCGAGCGAGGGCGCTGGCGAACCTGGGTACTTTTTGGGGAGATTTCCCGCCTACGCCGTGCGCACGGTTCGCGGGCCAGGCGAAATCTTGGAGCGTTTGCTTGCGAAGGGGGCGGAGCCGTTTGGTACGTCACTTTGGTGGCACGCATACGCACGCGGGAGTCGGAGGTGCCAGCGAGTGGAAGAGCAACAAAGGAGGCACTCCCAACGGTACCGCACAGTGGGCCCGCCCAAGGCCCTGTAGCTCGCAAATTCACCCGCCATGGAGCCTGCGCTTGCCCTGGAGCGACCAAGCCCCGCGAGACCCTGAGGCCCGCGGGAGATCAATCTCGCAGCGCAGCGTATAGATGGGCCGGCGTGCGCTCGAGAAATAGGAGAGTGGGTAACGGCTTCCTTTGCTCCAGGTGCCCACGGGCCCGCGATAGGCAGGTGCAACGCAGCATCGTCCTCGCAGCGCGCGCCAAGCCCTTGGGAACACGAATCGAAGTCCCGAAGGCCCAGATGAGCCCACATGCGGCCTAGCGCAGCCAGCATCCTGGGGACCTTGGACCCTTTGGACCCTTTTGCGGGAAAGTCGCCCCGCACAGCGAACGCCTCTGACTGGCCATGGGCGCCTGGACGCGACCCGCCAATGCACCGCGGCAGGCAGGAGCGAGGCAGCCAGGGCATCCATCTCGCAGTCGGCCCTGCTGCGCTCCCCACCACCTCGAACCATCGCAGGGCAGGGAGATACTTGTCTGTCACGCCGCAAT